GTACAACTCTCTATTTTCACAACCATACCTAAATGTCTTCCCAGTCCTCAAATCTTGGAATACACAGTGAGAAGAGAAAAGGTTATACTGCAGTTTAGGGTCTTTGTGGGATTACTAACTACCAGGAGATTATTAGAAAGATTGGGAACGTGCAAGGTGGATGACAAGTTAATAGCAGTAATATGTATAGTTCCCTTTCCCTTGATTGGAATAAGAGAACCATCTTCTTTTTTAACTAATTCATGGCCCTTGCCCTCTCAGGCCAACCAACTGTACGTAGGGGTCACGAAGTCCCCTAGCCAACCACCTTGGGCATCTCTCTATCCCCATCAAGGGATTGGCATCCACAGTTGTGCCACATTCCAAGGGCTAAAGGGTTTTAGATATCAATCCGGACCTAGCTCATCAAGATGAGATGAGTCATGGCATCAAAGTGCCTCATTTGGTCCCACCAAACCTTAACTCTCGCTTGAGTCATCATATTACTATAGTCATAGTTGTAGATAAGGCCTTTAAATGACCCCAAGAGCCCAAACTTTGGTTGCTTAGAAACCCCTTTTTTCATGTAATCTATGGTAGGGGCAATCAACATACTGAAATTACAGATAAAACGATGGCCAAACCATCAAAGCTTGATGGGGATCAAGAGCTGGCGATTCAAAATTTTAAGTTAATTTTTATGGATGTGGGTATACATATTATTTTTTTATGAAAGGTTAAGTTTTAGGAATTATAATGTGGGATTAATCTCCAGCACTTGGTTTCTATTTTTTATTTTATTTTTGTTTAGCATTCATTAGTATTGTTCAAAGGTGTTGTTCACAGGTTAGTATTTATAAGTACTGTTTACGCTATTTCTGAAGTTCTAGTAATGTTTAGAGGTATTTTAGAGACTACAATTGTTTACTTGGTTCTCAAGTTAATTTTAGGGTTTCATAGGCTTATACAATTGTTTACTTGGTTCTCAGTCCACTTGCTTGGGCTTCTTCAATAAAATTTGCCTTCAAAAAATAATTGACACTCACCCGTTGACTAGGCTTAGTTGCAGTTCACTCTCTCGTGTTCCATGATATTTTGATATTATCCTTTCAAAATAATAAGTGTTCTTCCTCCCCTCATGAATCTCACCAAGATCATACTGCCACAACCTTTCCAACAAACATATGGCATGTATCCATCACACCATTCATTATCATACTGTCTTTTCAATGGAAAATGAAACAAGGCAAGCATTTAGAAACTGTTACATCACTTAGTTTATTGAGTAATGACAGCTTGTAGGCCCTTGGATGTCCTCTACGCCCAACTTGAGTTTATCTACTGCCTCTTGGGAGATGACGTACTCACAACTGCTGTCTATACTCACCTTGCATACTTTCCCACTGATGTGGATGCAATGTGGAAAATATTCGCTCTCAACCAATCCTCCATTTCATGTTTTGGCAGAAACAAACGCTTTCTTCACCTTCATCACCATACATAACCACATCTTCTTCTTCTTCTCCAAATTCTTCATCATAGACTTGTCCTCCGTCAAAATCTGCACCCTCTTCATGCTCTTTCCTTCAATCATGTGTTCTTTACCTTTTGCCAAGTGATTGGAACTTTCCTGCTGTCTGAGGATTTATGATTTGGTCTCCACACTTTTAACAACAGAATGATGCACTGTTGTTTTGGTTTCTCTAAAATGTGGCTGCAGTATTTAGACGCGCACCGTATGTGCTGTTGAAGTCTCTTTGGTTGCTCCAATATGTGTAGTTTTCGGTCCTGCTGCCCCATCTTGAATTCCCACTTTGTTTGCAGGTTTTGTTCCGGTTAGTTCACCTATCCCCACTATCCAGTAATCTTCGAGATCAAAACTCACCTGTTTTTTTTGGCTACCTTTCCACCTCCAAGGTGCAATGATATGCCTTTAAAACAGTGCACAAAGGCTGTAAGGACAAAATGTCCTGTATACACTGCCTCAAACTCCCTACATATCTTGTGACCGGTTGTTCATCGCTTTCCGACAGGTCGTTACGGGCAATTGATTGATTGAACTCCTCGGTATAGTCACCTATGCCCCTTCCTTCTTTCCTATCCTTGCATTCTCTAGCCTATGTTGATCTCTCTCTCTCTCTCTCTCCCCTTCTTTCCTATCCTTGCATTCTCTAGCCTATGTTGATCTCTCTCTCTCTCTCTCTGTCCATTCCCCTTCTTCCTTATCACTCCTTTCTCTCTCTTCATTCCTATTCTTTTTGTCTGTCTCTCGTGTCCAAATCCGAAACCCAATATCCCTCCAAATATAGAATAAAATCTGCAAAAGTTGAGATGAAGATGGGAGAAAGCGAGAGTATGGGTTCTACAAGAGAGAGAGGACAGTTTCCGATTTGGGTGAGAGAGAAAGAGAGAAGAGGAATGGAGAGAGAGAGAGAGAGAGAGAGAGAGAGAGCTTGACATGGGCAAGAGAATGCAAGGGATAGCAGAGGGGAATGTGGCAAGAGAGAGAGGGAGTAAAGAGAAGGAACTAAACTTCAGCAATAGGACTAGCAAGAAAGGGTGAGATAGAAGTGGGGCGCCAAGGGTTAGGTTTTTGGGTTTTGAAAAATAAGAAATAAAAGCGAAGAAAGGATGTGTGTCATTTAAACAATTAGTTTGGGGCACTTAATGAGGATTAAAATAAAAAAGGACGGCAATGACTTTTGGAGCTGATGGAATGAAATATATGTTAACTTAAAGCGCTTGTTAGGGATACAAGGTGGGGGGTTACCATGAAAGAAGTGCGACTTTCAGGGGTCACAGTGATATTTTCCTTTTAATTTTTGAAACCAAAAAGATATTAACCAAAGTAAAAGACCCCAGAGAAGTTCCAATGCCAGTGATGTGAAGTAGAACCCCTATAATGTCTTTCTCTTTATCATCATACAGAGACAAGAAAGTAACCTGCATCAAATGTCAGCCCTTGTATCCATAATCCAAAAAGCATGGAGTTTTTTGGGGCTGCAATATGTTCGGATTTGCAACGAGTGTGTCAAGGCGGTAACATTTTGAAATTGTGGATCATATCTTTGGAATCATTGGGAAGCAGTGAGATTCTTTTTCCCAAACAGAGATAATATGATATAATGGGCTGGTTGGTGCTGGCAAGCTAGAAGGTTAAAATTCCATGGTTATGGGAATGTTATGACTAGCATATACTTCTCCATAATGTTGGTTAGATGGATTGAATCTACTGTTCCCACAACCATAGTTGTTTCTTCTTCTTCCACAGCCTCTAGTAAATATATTGGAGCTATAAGAATTGACATTTAAGACTTCAGGAATATCTTTGTTGACCTTCAACTGATTTTCCTCGAATAAAGCTTCATGTTGTATATTGTAAGAGAGGATGAATTTCAAGCTTCATGTTGTATATTGTAAGAGAGGATGAATTTCATTGAAACCACGTGTAAGTGGTCTAGACATGACCAATGTGATGAACATATCATATTCTTCAACAATTCTCCATGCAAGTATAATACTTTATCACCATTGCTAACCTCATGAACGATGGTAGTTAGTTGAGCACAAAGTGCTTTCAGCACTAAACACAACATAAAGAAGATGAAGATAAATGTCAAGTTACATTTCTGCTCCTACACATCACGTTATAACCTTAATAATATTATGGGAAAACAGAGTTGCATTTCCTTTATAGTAATTTATTGTGAAGGACTAAGCTTCTAGAAGAGCAGTTCCAGGGGCATTTCATGGTCCTAGTGGACCCAGGGGATTCTATGAGCATGTTGGAGGTGTAGTAGTTTGGGATCTCATCTCCAAAGGGCACTCAAGGATTATGAGGTGGATCACTTCTTGGCTTTGATGGGTTTTTAGGAGGTGTTCCTGCTGATGGGGCTGGACCAGAAGATTTGTTAATGATAGAGTGGTTCCAGTTTTTATGTGCGGACTTTTTACGGAGACTTCATGGATATTCCTCAAGGACTTTAACCCACCCACTATTTATATAGTGTCATGTTACCCCTGGAGTGCAGGCTTTCCAGCTGCATGCTATTCTAGAAAATATCCTTACCATTGACCACCTTTCTAGCCTTGCACCTGCCGATGTGCAGAGAGGAGGTTGTTGACCACATCTAGATTCACTAGCCAAATGGATTACCAGTTTGGACCCACGCAAGTGGTTGCATCAAAGTTGACTGGGTGCTGCCAGAATCGGTGGCTGCCTTGTTTGCAGGATGGAGTTTAGCTCCTTTCCCTTATAGAATTGGTCCCAATGGAAGATGGCATATGGATGTATCTTTAATGAAAGATTATAGCCATGGTATCTCTAAAGGAGAGGATTTGCATGTCCATTATGTCCTGGGCTTTTTTCTCTGAGGTTTAAGGGTTTGAAAACTTGCTCAGACTTGGAGGATAATTTTCTCCAGCCATCTATATCCTGAATCAGATGGTGGCTTTTAAGACGCGGTATTGGAGCATTCAATAGCGATATTTTATTGGTGGTCATGGGATGACTAGGGACCAGCAGAGATGGGAGGCATGGCCAGGAGTCATTTTGGGGGTGCCCTTGTTGTCATTCTCTGGTACCTTAGTCCTTAGGGTAAAGGGATCCTGTTGACCATGGCTGAGGCAGAAGCCCTCTTTGACGGGGTAAGGTTAAGAATTTCTTCATTTCACCTTATTAGTGAAAAGGTACTTCCCAAAGCATATGAATAAGGGAGGATTGAGGTCATGTGGATGATGTCACTCTGCTATCCTAGTGGCTTATTCTTCGTGGTGTGAGGCTTCTGATTATGCGCCCTTTGTCATCTCTCTATGTTTGTATTCTTGGTGTTTTGCAATGCTGTAGTTCTGCTCACTTCATTGATCCACACAGGGAGAGAGAGAGAGAGCTGCATTAAGGGTTGCTGGAAGTTTTTGTAAAAAAATGTCGCAGTTGTTGGCATATTAGCTTTCCTTCTGCAGCCTCACTTCTGTTAAGAGTATTTGCAGAATTAATATTCAATTGAATTTTATGTTCCCAGGTTAAGCTATCTCTTGAGGCGGCAAACCTAGCCGAGAACAATGCCTCCCTTGGGATGTATGATGCTGCTGAAGGTGTGGTCTTTGCTGGGACCTGAAAACATCATTTGCTTTTATGTTTACTTCCTTTTTATTATTATTATTATCTTCCCTTTTTATTATTATTATTTTTTTATTTTTTTTCTTTGGGTGCATGTATAGCGATTGGCATGACGAAACATTGATTTTCCTGTTTCTCCTACAGTATCTTCCCGGGAAGCGAGAGTGTGGGCAGAAGCTGCTTTTTTTCATCCATCCATCATGTCGATCCTGTACTTTCCATTTGAGCACCACGTTGCCATATATTCTGTAAGCAACACATGCTTTACGTTTTGGTCCAAGCCTTCAAATTTATTTGATAGAGCGACTCAAAAGAGTTTCTGTATTGTGGATATCTGATACTTTGGCATCTTTTTTTTTCAGCCCTTCTTTGTTCCAGTTGCAATGCATGTGTTTATTGCAGCTTTCAAGGAAACTATGAGGTACCGGCGAGAAAGGGAAAAATATTGGGCATGGAAAAATCAAGCACCAGCTCTTTGATCATAAAATGGTTATTAGGTAAGGTTATTTAAATTTGCAGCAAATATAAATGACACTGGCTTTCAATGGTTAAATTGTCTCTTAAGACCCACAAATTATAGTGGGGAAGAGATGGTGGTTTCATTTTCTTTCTCCGTTTTTTACGAGGAGTTAGCTCACTGACCAAGGAAAATGTAAAAACGAGCTCTGGTTTGGGTAGGCAATTGTAATTTCTTTTAATTTGAACCTGGGATATCAGGTTTGCAAAAGGCAACGTACCCTCCTATGTAACGATATATTCTAATCCAATGAATTCACTTTGATATTCCTTTTTTTGGGGTCTGTAGGGATTTGACCCCTATCTTTGGCGAGAATGGAGTCCATGATCTCATTCATGAACCCGTGGTATTACCTTGTGGCCTTCTTTATGTACCACATCTTTTTTACACCTCACAAGAGGTTGATTAAAAAAATATTATTTTAAATGTAAAGGTCAAAGGGTCGTGTAACAGTTTTAAGAGAACTATCTCGTTTTGGGCTCTTGCTCCTTCCTCTCTTTTTCTTTTTTAGTTTTTATTTATTTGTTTATCTTAAGCTCTCTCATCTTTCACCTTGCACTCCATCGGCAACTCAGTGCAGGAAGCAAAGAAGGAAGGGAAGATGATGGAGTTTGTAAGAGATGAAGGAGATGTATCTTACAATTCATTCCTCACACATTTTGGGCAACAAATGGTCATATTCCGGAGTTTAGTAGTGTGAGAAGGCCAAAGTACCGATTGGATGATTTTTGTAATGAGAGAAGTCTATTAATTTTTGGATGATTTTTGTAGTGAGAGAAGTCTATTAATTTTTGTTCTTGTTTAAAGGTGTTACGCAGATTAGAAGACATGAGTATTTTTAGATTGCGGTTTTGTACGGGTCTTATAACTGTGCTATTAATCGACATAGAATCTCATTTGTAATATGGATGTATCTTAAGAGTGTACTCGCCCACGATCGGTTTGTACCTTAGAAGTTTACCAAGATTGTGGCGTTTAATTAGAAGAAAGTGAGCTTCCTTGTGCCTCCAAATCCCTTAATTTTGTTCTCTCGATCTTTTTGCTAAAAATTGGGTCCGTTGACCCATTAATAAGTTTTATAGGCTCATGGTTATATCTTCTTCTTTTTTTTTGGGACCAATTAACAAAATTTTGTTAAAAACCTAGAAGGCTATAAATGAAAGGTGTGGTAATGTAGAATTCAAAGTATTAAATTCAAAAACAAAATTATACGTTTTATTTCAAATACTTGAATTCTACTTATATGAGTTATAATATGTTGCTGTAAAATTAAAATAATGTCTTAGATACATTCTAGGATTTTTATTTTTATTATCAAGAGAAAGGGGATATTAAGCTCATTGTGGATGGTTTGAAATATTAGATCTATAAGGTGATTAACTTTTATAAAGATGTATTTTTCCACATGTATGAATTTTATCATTTACTTTATTGTTCATTGCCCTTAATGGATCTCTACACGTTGATTATTTAAAATTAAGAGCTTTTATGTAAGGGGAAGTTGGATTCACTTGGAATAAAAATATGGATTGAATGACAAAAGGGTAAAATGATTTTACTCAAGGTTTAATGTGGGTGATAATGGTGTTTAAATCTCATCTATTCATCTTAGTGGTTGGATGAGGATGAGTGGCTAGAGTATATTGGTCTCTCATGTGCCTTTGTATAGGTGCATTAAGGGTATTGATGATATCCAATCTTCTACATTATGTATATATGCTTCTTTAAATCCCAAACCCTACCCACATAGAAAAATCCATATTGCTTTAGGTGAATAGAGAGAAAAAGAGAGAGACCAAACCTTAGACCCCTTTGCTCATTTCCCTTTGAGAGTTCCTATCCTCCATTGATGATCTTTGAAGTTTGATGGTGGTTATTCACTTCATAAGATCAAGCTCATCTAATATCATGATCAAGGTATTATCTCTCTAAGTTAGTTTATATTAAATATCATTTATCCATGGTCAAAGGTTCCTGAAAATTTCATTTACAGTCATGTTTTAGTTTCGTTAGACCTCCATTTTGATATTATCTTCGTATCATTCTTACATAGTGTGATCCCTCACTTGCTTATGTGTTTTATGCATTGATAAACCTTTGATCATACATAGTTTCCTTTGATCAACCTTGCACGAATTATCTTGAGCATTTCTAAGTCTTATTATTTAAATTCTCTTAGAAGTGTATTTACACATTTAGAGTATGAATTTTGCTTAAAAAGTTGTTGTGGTGAACTAGTGAACCACCGCAAGTAGTTTTGCCCTATCTTGCTCAATATTGATCTGATTTGCTCCATTCCTTTTGTAAAATGCTTTAAATTGATTGTATGGACACTACGAAATGGTTTTAAAAGTGTAAGAGCTTCCTAATTGAATTAAATACCCTTGAGATTATAAACCACTATTGTATTATTCATTGGGATAGAATTAAGTCCCTAAAATGCTCGAATTTGTGACCCAGGCACAAGGAGTTCAAACTTGGCTTCCAACATGTTTGTATGCATGTCTATTTGTTGTATTTATAATTATTAAATGATTAATGGTTGAAGAAATTATGTATGTTAAGTGAAAAATAGAATTGTGTTTTTAATCTTGTGGTATGAGCTTTAATGTTATGCTTTATTATTTATGTGAATTGAAATCTCATTGATTATTATGATCAAGTATAAGATGTATAAGACATTGTGATAAATAATGAGGATGAAGATTGAAGATGGAGTTATCATATAATTTTGATATAATGTGAAATTTTAAGTGCAAGTCATGTAGTATATCGTATAGATGTATATTGTGAATATTTAGATATTGTATTGAGTTTAATTATATTTTTTAATAAAGGATTTGTACAGGACATATTAGGGTTGAATTTGTATTTTTCAATTGTGTATAAACCAAGTTTGTAAGCTGGATTTTATGTATTACGGTTTTGTATTGAGATATTCATGTATTTATACCCTTAAGTTTTAATACAATGAAATTTTTTTAAAGATTGTGTACCTAACCACTTAGTCTTATACCATCAACACGCCCCACTCAATAGATCAAGGCATTGAGGCCTTGATCAAAATTGCCTATTGCTCTTATATTTTGTGAAGGGGTTTAGCTAGAGCTTTCCCATATTCATTGATCCCAGCGCCACTAGAGAAGGAGATCCGGTATGGCCTGTTCTAAGTCTAGTTGAAGTAATCTTTTGACATCTTTATTTTTATGGTTTGCAGTCCATTCTCTTGTAATTTCATCTTCTCATAGCATAATGTTACTTTCATTTATTCAATAAAAGAAAGTTGTAATTAGTGGCAGTAAGTAAGAACCAATTTAGTTATTTATTATTTTCTTTTGTATTGAATTTATTGTAATTAGATTGTTATAAATGTCCTAGTCGGTGTAAGAAATAAAATTAAAAATTGTATACTCCATGCTAGATCACCTTTGTCCACCTTTCATTGGTATCAGAGCAAGGGTTTTCTTACTGCCCATAGGAATTTTATTTTCTTTTATTTGAGTATTGTATTCGATTTGGGAAGAGAAATATGACTCCCACACATTTATCTCTGAGATCCTAAAAACCGAAAGGGTCGATGGAACAAACTACTCTTCATGGAAGCACAAGATAGGCTATGTGCTTTATGAGAAGGATTTGGATGGGGTACTATCTGACGATCGTCCTCGGCATCCTAGAATAAATTCATCTCAAGAAACAAAAGACAAATGCTTCAGGGAAGCGTAGAGATATACGTGTTAGGCATATCCTACTTTGCTCAATGATTGACTCATACACATTTGAGTATGAGTCAATAAAAACTGTAAAAGACATGCATGAGCGGCTCGAGTAAGAATACGTAGATTTAACTCTTATGAGGCAAGCAATGGCCATGAAAAAGGACAATGAACTGAAGATGGATGAAAGAGCAAAGATATCGGATCATCTGCATCTCGTCCGTGTACTTCATAGAGAGATCGAGGCTACTGGCACATGATCTTTAGAATCAATGCAGGTGGTTCACTTGACGAACTCTCTCCCTAATTCCTGTGAGACTTTCATCACATCCCTCTCTGCCCAACAAACGGCTTCAAGATTGGAGGAGCTCATAACACTGCTCAAAGGAAAGGAAGAAATGAGGAACACATGCAAAGCACCGGCTCCAAGAGACATGGTCCATATAGTAAAATCTCAACCCATCTTTAAGCCTTATAAAGGGAAGGGTAAGAATAAAAACGAGAAGAAAGGTGAGGAAAATAATTAAGAGAGAGAGAATAAGAAAAGAAAAGAGACAAGAAATTGCTATGTATACAAAAAGGTGGTTCATATAACAAAATACTGTCGCTTCAATAAAAATCCTGAGGCCAACAAGGAAATTGCATATGTGGTCTTGGAAATGTTGCTAGCCGATCTGAAGGGAAATTCTTGATGTCTTGAATCAGGAGTTACGACTAACATGACAAACACCAAGGATGGCTTCCACACCTTCTATGGTTATAAAGTAGTCGTGAAAAATCGTCATGATGTTATCATAACCAGTGATCTTGTGAATGAGCTTTACTCGATTGAAATAAAGGAATAAATTGCTTATGTCTAGTCTTCGAATGATGTAGATGTTTTCTTATGGCAAGCGATTAGGGTTCATACATTTTAATGGAATGAAAAGATTAAGAAAAGATAGGATCCTTCAAAACTATAAGAGAGATCTATCAAAAGTATATGATCATATCTGTAAGGAAAACTAACAAAAAAAATTACACTGGGCTAAAACGAGCTTTTAACTTGTTAAAAGTCATTGGCTACCAAAAGCCGCAAAAAGTATTTCATCACTTTTATCAATGAGAACTCGTGATATAGCCACATATACTTGATGCATCCAAAATCTGAAGCCTTCAAAAACTTAAACAATAAAAAGCCGAGGTAGAAAACCAAACCAACTTGAAAATTAAAGTCCTACGGACTGTTGGAGCCAACAAGTACTCATTCGAACTCTTTAGGAACGTATATGTGGAGCATGGTATTATCCATCAATAGACTATGCCCTACACACCGGAACAAAATGAAGTTGCCAAAAGAATGAATAGAACTTTAGATAAAAATGGTGAGAAATATGATGGGGCACATAAAACTCTCTTTAGAGTTTTGGGGAGAAGCAGTATTGACGGTCGGTACATCTTGAACTGCACTCCCACCAATGCTACTCTTCCTCACGAGATATTCACTGGTTGTATTTCATCACTCGATCATCTAAGAGTATGGGGTTGCTCGGCCCATGTCCTTTTCCCATACTAAAATAGGACAAAAGTAGATCTTAAAACCATTAAAACCATATTCATTGGCTACTTTAATCATGGTATGGGGTATGGAATTTACAACCTTCATAGTAAATCAGTTATTGAGAACCGCAATTTATTTGAGAATGAGTTCCTTGAAGTAAGAATTAGTCACAAACAAGCCAATCTCATTGGGGAGGCTAGTGGCATGGTTGAGAATCAAGAACATGAACTTGAACTCCAACCTAAAAGAAGCGACTGAGTCTCTAGAACACTCATGTACGTTGAAAATGTTTGCTTACATGTGGGAACACTATGAAAGAGTTGGGGATGAGCGAGATAATGAACTTTCAACTTACCAATAAAACATAACATGTTTTGAAAATGACCATTGGGTAGAAGCCATGAAAGAAGAATACTTTTCAATGAACCAAATCCATGTGTAGGAACTAGTACCTCTACCTCGAGACCATAAGGCAATAGGATGTAAATGTATTTTTTAAAAAAGTTGAACTCAAAGGAGAAATTAAAAAAATACAAAGCTAGGCTAGTATCAAAGGTGTTCACCCAAAATGAAGTAGTAGATCATGAGGAAACGTTCTCTCCAACAGCAATCTATTAGAATCCTAATAATCATAGCAACCCATTTTGACTTTGAGGCTCATCAAATTGATGGAAATACAGCTTTTCTAAAATGGGAATTTAGAAGAGGAAATTTATATGAAACAAACTGAGGGATTTGAAGAAAAGGGAAATGGAA